TGCTATATAGTACAAAAAATTAACACAATATATTTTTTTTTTCCGTAGTTGCTTGAATTTTTAAAATATCTATTTACTTATTTAATAATTTCATTTGACTTTGATTAATTCTTTTGATCAAACTGCCCTCAATTCTTGTTGTAATCACGTCTTTAATTTAAATAAAAAATATTTATAATTTATCATTAATTTTCAAAATTTTTATTTATAAAATTACCAACTGCGGGCTGGAATTGAGTGCAGTGCACGACACTTAAAAAAAAATTGAGTATAAATTTTTTTAAAAATTTTAAGTTCATTTTGATATTATTGTAATATATAAAATTTTTAATTATCAATTTATTACATTGATCTTAATATAAATTTAAAATTTTAAAATTTTATTTGATAGGGCATTTGAACTGTTCTTAATTTTCTATTCATCGATAGATTTATGAGTTAGTGCTCAATTAAGGTTTCGTTTGGCATGACTTTTTTACTATTTTTTAAAATAACTTTTTAGTACAAAAATTTTAATTTTGTATTAAAATTTTTTTTAAAGAAGCAGTTAGAAAGCTGTCTCAAACGAAACCTAAGTGTCCATTTGAGACGTCAATCATAATTTTATTTGACTTTTTTTTGGATATTTTTGTGATGAAAGTATGTTTTTTATGACCAGAAGGTTTGGAATAACTTAGTTGTTTTCCTTATAAAAAAAAATTTACAATCATAATTAATTTTATAAAATGCTGCAATTATCTCAAACAGATCATAAATATATTGAATTTATGGTGATAGAGAAATGATAGTTAATTTTGATCAATTCAATATGTTACTTGAAGTCTTAATGAAGCCATGCAGTTCTATTAAAGCTTTGATTCCTTTACTCAAATTGCAGGCAATGTGGACATCCCTTCAACCCAGAGAAATTGCACTCACACATGAAGTCATGCAAAGGCCTCAAGCGATCAGGAAAGTAATCAGGAAAGAAAACGAATATTTTCCGATGTACAGAGCTCAATCTATCTATAATCATCTTTTAAAAATATAGAGAGAGAGAGAGGAACAGAATGAATTATTGGTGCTTTGAAGGGCATCAATCTGATAACAGCATTTTTAATAGAGATTTTATGTGTTTAGGTAGTCAGGCATGGATTTCTTTAGGGCCAGGGTGTTTACAGATTACTAGTTTGCAGGATTTGTTTAATATAAAATTTATGGTCAAATGTTCTAAAGTTTTTTATGATATAAAAAATGTTTATTTTTATCTTTTGTATATATCAATTAATATCATGCTGTGAAGTTTATATAGAACAAATATTCTTTAATATTTAATTATCATCAGATGAAGCATAGCTTACTATTTACTAAGTTTAATTATCAGTCATTTTGATAGAAAATAGTCATCAAAATCAAAGAAAACTGCTGAATTTTAGAGAAATTCAGCAAGCACAATGAAGATTTTACAAAATTATGTAGAAGAAATAGGAAGAAAAGCACTTGAAATTCAATAATATAATTAAAGGAACAAACCGATACAATGAATCTTTAATTCAAGAGGAAGATTTAGCTCTTCAATTCTCTAGTCAAAGTTTGGAGCTCAAAACCCAAGCAAAGATCTCAAATTTAGATTTCAAATTCAAGATAACCCTAACCCTAATAAGAAGAAATTAATTAAAACAAAAGGGCAATTAATTGATTCCTAAATAATCTCTAATTTGAATAGTGTATGAGTCCCATCCACTCAACCATCCACCCCCTTTTGGCCCGCCTTCTGTTGACATGAACTAGTCTAGGATGGACCAATTCAGTCAGCCCAACCGATCTAACACATTTCCTTGAAAGCCTAATGGCCCTTTCTGTAGACTAACATTATTAATAGTAACAATTATTTTATTTTATTTGGGATAATTTTCTTCCTGCTTTTTAAAGAATTTTTTTTAGTATAAAAATTTCCAATTCAAATAAATTTTATACTTAAAAGTTACTTTAAAAAGTAATAAGAAAGCAGTCACAAGCAGAGCTTTAATGGTGGAACTCACATAAAAAAAAGGGGAGAAAATTATCCTAAATTAATGGGAGCAATGCAAGACATTTTATAGATCAAAGGCATCATGATGTGCGTGATCAACTTGTTCTAATCATGGTGCCCCTCTATTACGTTTTGTGATTAGAACATAATAGAAGGATGCAAATACTATCATTCAAGCAGAGCAGAGCAGCGAGATGATGCATGTAATACGCTTAAAACAAGAGAAAGAGCTTGCTCATGAGGAACTGAGCAAACAAAAAAAAGAACCATAGATGCATAAGCATGAAAAGAAAGAGAAATTATTATGTGTGGATGGATGCAACTCTAAGTTCGGATGCCACGGTACTGAGTATCGGAATCGATACCGAGCAGTACTGAGTAGCAGTACAGTAAAAAGATGACATGGTGCATTTTTATTGGTCTCTGGACATCATTCGGTGTCCGTGCAAAATAATTTTTCGAAAAGAGGAGTGTAAATCAGATGGCATTCACCTTCATATTAAGTATACATACCTTGTTTACCATGTGTAACAAAACTGAAGATAGATGAATGAAAAAGGCTCAGAAAACAACACCAGCATCATAAAATTTCTTCAGTTCAGGAATACGGACAAAACGTCAGCTTGCAAGCATTGAACCTTCTTCTCATTACTTCTCAATAAACTGCTTCAGATTCTGCAGCCACCGGGAATACTCCCTGTCATCTTTGTTTATCATATATTCATACAAGAAGTTGGTGGTCGAAGGAGAGATGCCTCTTATTTCAAGAAATTTGTGGAATGCTTTCTGGAGGTTCTCATCAAGATCACTGGAACACATGAAAATTTTAGAGTATAAATACACTAAGGTTTTGTTTGGGACGGCTTTCTTCCTGCTTCTTAAAGCAGCTTTCAAGTTCAAAAATTAAAACTTTTGTACTAAAAAAGTTCTTTAAGAAGAAGTAAGAAAGCTGTCCCAAACGAAAGCCTAAGATGAAAAAATTATGAGCGGAGTTTAGTCTCTTGTAATTTCTCCTTACTTGAAATCAGGACCTTCATATGCTAGCACATCATCAGATTCATCATTTTTTTGAACTGACAAGCTGTCAATTACAATTTCATCAGCATAAGCAGTGCAGGAGAACTCCAGATTTAGTCCTTTGGTTTTGCTGATGTTAACGGTCAGTGGAATAGCAGGCTGGCTGGTCTTCTCATCACCGAGATGATTGGCTTCCCCATTGCCCGCCTCCTCAGTGTTAACAGGTTCCTCCATTCTGGGCATGGAGACAAAAGCTTCAATTTTCTCACCCAAGTATTCTCTTCTTAGAGTTACAATGTTTGAACCCTCTTCATCTTGGATCTCAAATGGAAAGCCTTTTGGAACTTCTTCTGTCTGGGAAATAAGAAATCAAGTGAAGATATAATTTATCAGCTTCCCAGAAATCTTTTAATCTAATATCGCCATCTCTTGAAGTAAAATACTAGTTTTAAAATGCATCCATCCTAATAATCTCAACTATGAACTTGCTCATTCACGCCTTCTTCATTAAATAGCTTTTTTTTAATCTTTCTTCAGATGGAACAAGATTCTATTTTGCCAAAAAGCGCTCTAGGCATTTCTATTAGGCTTCATTTGAGATAGCTTTCGTATTGCTTCCTAAAATGACTTTTTAGAATAAAAATTTCTTGCAATAAAAAAGTTGTCCCAAACAAAATCTTAATCTTATATATAACTTTTATCAATATCACACTTCTTTTATGATCAAAATAATACATAGATAGGCCAATTATACATAAAACCAATTAATTTTCATGTCTGACAATTAAAGCCCAGCAGTTTGCTTGTTCTACACTATTATCTTTTCGATCATTTAATAGTTTGGAAGTAACATAAAAAGAAGAGCAATAGGTAAAGAATTATTAATTTAATTTTTTCTTAATAAATCTCTACAGCTAAAACCTTGCATTTCCAACACCGCCAGTCATCATAACCACCACACAAACTGTCTGAAGTTATGACATATTAAGTACCCATATGCTAACGATGGAGAAAGAAAATAGCTAGGTGATTTTATCATCTCTATCCTATGTGTTGTCAGTCTTTCACCACTATTAAATAGCAAAATTAGCATACTAAAGATTTAATTCATCAAGCATTTCAGTTGGTACTTAAACAAGAGGGTAGCCTATGCTTGTTTGGTTCTTCAAATATTCTATCACTCAATCAGCAACATCATTTCACAACTGCCAATCACTTTGCAATTCCACTGCTTATATGGTATTTTGATAGAGAGAACTCCAAAAATATGTGGAAAAAAATTAATCTCCAATATATAAAAGTTCATAAATATTGGTGAATTTTGGATTAGGATATAGTATAAGCAAAGAATTAACGGTACACAAATTAAAACAATTCGGCATATATATATATATATATAAGCTAAATATGATGATTTATTTGTGCGTTTTTTGCTATATTGAATAAAGATTTAAAGTACGACCATGCCAATCAACAATTGTTTCAAATTAAAACACTCTTGATCGAAAATCCAACAATTGCAAAAATTATTAAATTTAAAATGATAATTAATTTAGTGAAGATTAAGATGAATGGCCTTTGATTTATAGTTTGGTAATATGAAAGAAAAACAAATACCAAAAATAGATATGCAAGATTACTTTTTCAAGCATATTTTTCATCAAAATATTGTGAACTTTGAGCTCCTAGAATTAAATAAAGATGGTCAAACTTCATCTCCAACAAACTAGGTAGAGACCAAATTTATTGAATTCTACCAGTTAGATCATTGATCAAGCATATCTATAACTGTCTTTAATGAGATAATAAGATAAAAAAGTACCCCCTTTTTTAATCTATGATAACTTGGGTTTCGTTTGGGACATCTTTCTTCCTTCTTTCTAAAACATTTTTCTAGTATAAAGCCTTACTCTAATTGAGTGTTATTTTGTACATGTCCCGATCAAGCATTGAGACTATGGCTACGTTTGGAAAGGCTTTCTTGTTGCTTTAGAAAGCAATAAGAAAGCCAACCCAAACAAAGCCTATGTCAAATGCTTGATGTTAAACAATCATTCCAAAATTGTTGTTTGGAGCTGTAACTAACGGCACGATGTTATTTAACAAATTATTTCTAAAAAATAGATCATCATAAAATTTTATAAATTTTAAATGCAAGCTATTTCTTGCAAGGTTGATCAGGATCAATGTTACATATCATTTTGAAGTATTTATGGACATAAATAATAGATATGAAAAAAAAAACTTCATATTGAAAAGATCAAAGCCGAACTACTTATCATAGGCAAGGTTACAACTTAATTACAAGTTGAGAGAAAATAATTTACATATTATATATAGAAAAAATAATTATAGGTCCTAATTTAGACCTAATCAATCATATTGTGCAGTGTTGGAAATAGTTTTATTTTAGATTTGTTATTTCTAATGCTATAAATCTTAGACGATATCCCTAAAAACATAGTTAGCAACAACAAAATATAAAACATGCATGCTTCTTGGTAAATATGAGAGGATATGGATTAGTTCACTGCACTATGATATTTTTGGCTCATGTTCATTCATGCTTCTCCCAGGAGTTGTTTGGACTGTAGGTACAATGATTTATTTAATGAGTGATCTAGAAGGATTAAATTAGCCAGTCCATCTACTTAGGCTAGCAAATGGAACTGTTAGGATCCTCTAGGATTTTGACAAGCCTATAATGGTTGGATCTTTATTTTAAATTTCATGATCTATCATCTCCTATCATTACAGATAGTGAAAAATAATCTCCAACTACTAAAGAATTAGGTTCCTTTCATTTAGAAGTAACTTTCATTATTTTAAGAAGATGTATAGCCATTTTGTAGGAGTTCTTATATTTTATATTTTGTATCAATTTATATCTATTATGAGTGAAACATTAGTTGATTTTTCCATGCATATATGTATATATTCTTTTATCTATTTGTTGTGCCCACCCTTCTCTCTCTCTCTCTCTCTCTCTCTAGATTGCTCTATAAAAAGCAAACAGATCTTGTTTCTAGCACTTGCAGGGATTTAAAAATTTGCTCGAGTCAAGAACATAAGCTGATAGTCTCGTAAATTAACATGGGGTTATTTTTAATATGGGAACAACAAAAATGATTAAGAATGCAGTTTAAAAAACTGTTTATGAATTGAAATCAGATTTCTTCCGGGTTTGGATAGCAAAAAGAAAAGTCTATCTACCAGCCTATTATCAAGGTTTCTCCTAGATCTCTACCATCCTTAGGAGAATATGACTTTGGGATCAATGAGTGTGGTCTATGGTACAAATTTAGTCTGACCCAATTGTGCCAATAAACTGTATAATAAAAACATTTGACTCTTTCATGTATGCCTTACTCACTTGGAGAAATATATCAAAGTTGACATGATAGTAGCAAAGCTTTTACAATTGGATTGTTGAGAATATGGGCTTCATGTTTATTGGCCAATATGTAATGGCAGCATTTTTTACTTGAAAATGTAGCTCGCTTTTTCTAAGGAATTGGGGAAGAGACGCAAACATACAAGCAAATGAAAGCTTCATTTGAGACATTATGAGAAATCAAGATCATAAAGGAGATAGGATTGAAAGTCAAATTTTAGATCATATATGGATGACATTTGAAGTCAGCCATGCATCTTATTGTGATATTTTGTCTTACAAACAAACCTAATTGAAAGAGAAAAGTGCAAAGATTCAAATTTAAGGATCTTGCACTTACTTTTTAATAACATACCATTTTTCATGAAATTCTTGCTACATATCAAGACCATAAAGGAGATAGGATTGAAAGTTAAATTTTATATGGTATAAGGATTACAGTTGAAGTCAGCCACGCATCTTATTGTGATATTTTGTCTTTCAAACAAACCTAATTGAAATAGAAAAGTGCGAAGATTCAAATTTAAGGATTTTGCAATTATTTTTTAATAACGTACCTTTTTTTTCATGAAATTACTTGCTAGTCATGCATATAAATTATTGGGATTCTTAGTTGCAAATCAATTTGAAAAATATAGGCCTATTTTATATTTGGCCTCATCTTGCACACCTATTAGTGACTTCTAAATATCATGGCACATATTATTCTGATTTTATACATATATAAGTGCAACAAGAGGATCCACCGGTCCACCCACCTGAATACTAAACCACAAACCATTGTTTTGTGCAAAATGCCTTACCTGGTTGTTAAGTCACTACAAAGAACAAACCTAAGATAGGTAGCAGAGGAGAGTTAACAAGCTTAAGAAGCATAATTTTGAAAGACTGATAAACTATGGTGTAGGCTTTATGAATTCTCCTTAGGGACAACTTTATGAATCCTCCTACTTTCACTCCTTCTGTGTGATACATGAGATGCTAATTCTATCGATGCAAGTCTTTTTACACAATTTCACCTAGGGAATCAACTTTATGAGCTCTATTCATTCCAACTATTTGGGGCCAAAAATATATAATAGGGTATATCAGATGTGCTAAATCAATAACTTCACCCTATGATTCATCTATCTGGAAAATTTAGAGAAAAAAAAATAGGCACCAAGAAATGAAGAGTTTTTCGTAATTAAATTTTTTATTTTTATTTTCAATCCATATCTATGAGGAGAAGAGGGCAATGGAAGGCATAACGGTTTAAACAAGCTAAGTCAAAAGCTATGTAGCTGTTAAGTTTTCAATAAAAAGATCCAGCCCTTAAAGAGCATTATGGCTTACTCCAACAGCACAGAATCAGAAGGCTAAAAAAATCACTCATTATCAATCCATCACAGTTAAAGGTATTGACCTTTACACATTACCTAAGTTTTTGAAGAAACAAGAACAATAGATAAAACATTAGTTCTCGCCATCGAAATCGATAAGAACATCTAAATTACAAAATAATGCAATTCAAAACTACTCTAACAGCGTAATACGAAATAAATGAAACTGAAAATAAAAAATCTTTATGGTTTGTACCTCTCGGCGTTCTTCCTCGGCGGACTTAATTTCTGACTTGATTATCTGAAGAAGTTCGGCATCTGCTGACTGCTTCTTTGACAACAAAGAAGAGAAGCGAGCGAGGGACAAGAAGGAGGAGGGAAGCGTGCTTCCTCCTCTACAATAAAGGATTTCTCCCGTGAGAAGAGAACGTAAGGGAGCATTGTTGAGACTACGGCGACTCTGACGGCAGATGTAGAACTCTATTGAATATCGTGCGGTCGCGGAGGTGGCGCGGCGAACTATAGCGGAGAAGGCCATGTCCGATGACGGCACTAGAATGAGAGAAGGAACTAAACTGAAGCTGACGACAAAGCCCTACTGCTAGGGTTTTGCTTATGGTGGGTTTCTTCTAAGCTTGTTTCTGACACTATTGATGATTTCAGAAGACACAAATGTATTATTTTGCAGAATATTCGATGTAATCCACTCGATAATCAGCTGAACGATTGTTTGAATTCGTATTTTTAATCACAAAATGTTTTTATGGGCTTTTTGACTTATTCAGAGATGAAAATTTTGATTGCTTTCATATAGAGAGGATGATTTGAGCTTTTATTTATTCGAAAATTTGTGGTAGGCATAATAGAAATAACATCACGGGTTTTAGGATCCTAAAATTATTTCTGAAGGTTTTTAATTCTCCTATATCTCCTCTTCCTATTTCTAATTATATTTGTTGCGGACTAGAATATACGCGGCGATAGAGTTAGAAAGTTTCTGTCTCAATATTGTACGTATATTCAGCGCACAAACAGGATATGAAATAACACCACGATTTTTACGAGGAAAGCCCTGGAAAAGGGAAAAAACCACGTGGCCACGCCCAGTTGAAAAAGTTTCACTAATATTTGTTTGAAATACAAGAGGCTGATTCGTCCTTAGAATTTAAGACAATCAGATTACAATGATTTACTTCCGGATTGAAGTCCAGTTAAAACACAAGTTGTGTATTCGAGTTGAATTCAGAGTCACTTAGAATTCTGACGTCGCTTGGGCAGAATTCCGGCGGCATGTAGAATTCCGGCGTCACTTGGGCGTCGGGCAGAATTCTGTCGTCGGGTAGAATTCCGGCGTCGGGCAGAATTCCGGAGTCAGTTGGGCGTCGAGCATAACTCCGGCGGTGGTCGAGGAGGAGTTTGTTCCCTCATATCCTTCTCTTCTTCTTCTTCTTGCTTGAGTCCCCTCTCAAGAGAAATGAGGGGCTATTTATAGTTTTTTTTTATGATGGCATGACCCGTAAATAGGAGGATGATCAAGGGCAAATGTGGAGTGGTTCGGATGAATGACCGATATTGAATCCCTTAATCGTGGATCGTTCGTTAGACATTTGAAGGTTTTAACGAAATCGGAATTTTGTGATCTTGGGCTCGTTGGATTCGTCTTGTCGATATGCTCGATTCTACTATAAGCATGTCATGTTTGGAAATTGTTTGGTAATACAAATTATGGATTGAACCTTACGAATGTTCTTCGGGTCTTTGATTCAGACCCATTTGGGCTCAAATTGAGTTGAATTTGGTGTCGTTTGGTTTGTATTTCCGAGATGATCAATTCGACTATAAGTTTACTGAAATCGGAGTTCAGATGATCCTAGATTTAATTTTTGAACTTTCCAACTTGATTTTTGCCTTGAGATTCGTGCCCGATCAAGATAATTTTTTTATGACATATCAATATTCATGTTGGAAGGACTATTCCTGATGTTCTACTTCCATCTTTATCAGCTTCTATTTTTATTGAAAAATTTAAGAAGGTTGTATTCTTAATTTTATCTTCTTCTGCCTTTAGCCCTGGTGGCTTTACTTTGAAAAATTTTTAAAAACTCTTGGAAAATTTTTTGAAAAATTGTTTTATATTATTTCTCTTCTCGTCACATGTCTAGAGTTGTTAAAGCTTATGTTATTGCACTTATTCCTAAAAGTGCTCTTATCACTTATTGTAGGTCAATTTTTTTATTAATTTTTTTTATATAAAATTGTGGCTAATTTTTGGTTAATAGAATGCAACATATTTGCCTTTTATCATTCATCCTAGTCAGTATGAGTTTATTAAAAAAGGATTTCTTCAGATAATATTTTTTTGACATCTGAATTGTTGAGGGACTTTAATATCTTTGCCAACGTTAAGTATGTCTGTGCAAAGCTTGACATTCACAAGTCTATTGACACAGTATCTAGATATTTTTCTTTTATATAGATTGGCTCAAAAAGGTTTTCCTAACTGCTTCATTTCTTGGATTAATGGTTGTATTGAGGATTTTTTTTTTCTTTTAATGGATCATTAGATGGGTTTTTAACTCATCTTCATGTATACATCGAAGTTGTCCTCTTTCCCCTTATTTATGTTGTATTATGATGGATGTCTTATCTAATTTGATTGATGATAAGTCTTTTGATATTCACTTTGAGGGTATGGATGCTGGTGAGAAGTATATTTCTTATTTACTCTAAATTGATGATGTTCTAATCTTTGAAAAAGCCTCAGTTCCTAATGCTGAAAAGTTAAATGATATTTTGGGTTATTTCTCCCATTGTTCTAATCTTTTTCTTAATAATAATAAAGTTTGGCTTTTTTTTTTCTAAGGATACTTTGGTGGCTAATAATATTTGTTATATTTAGAACATTTCAAATTCTCATAATACTATGAAATATCTTGGAATATATGTTTACAAAAAGACTTATAGCTTCTACTTTTCAACCTTTGTTTGATAAATTACTGATCTGCAAGCTGGTTGGAAAGATGATATTCTTTCATTTGCTAGAAGAATTTAACTTCTTAAGTTTACTATTAGCTATTATATTTCTTATTGGAATAGGAGTCTTATTCTTCTTAAAATTTGATGCAAATTTATTAGAAAGGTTTGTTCTAATTTTCTGTTTCATGGTGATGTTAATTCTAGGAAAATTCATATTATTGCTTGGAAAGAAGTTTGTCGGCCTAAATGTTTTGGGGTTTTGGGTATTCCATATCTTAATTCTTTATACTATGCTTCCAGTTGTTCTCTTATCTGGTTGAGTTAAGCATAAATGTACTTCTCTTTGGAAACCTTATACTGAAAATGCTTCCATTCTTTTGGAAATTTATTTACTCTATTGTTGGGTCTATTAAGAATATATCTTTTATTATAAATCCTAATAATTCTCTTTCCATTTATTGGGATCCTTGGTGTGGGGGTCGAGCTTTACATGAATTAGTTCTTCTTTCGATTTGGTTTCTATAAAAGACATAATTAGCAATTGGACTTTGCCGAACTCTTTGTATGCCTTAGTTTCTTTAACACTTCTAATATTTCCATACAACATACTTCTAGTTCTAGTATTGCTTGAGATGGGGTGCTTTTTCCTCCTTTCAAGAGTTTTCATATTGCTTTTTATGATGATTTTACTAGGGTGGAATGGTGTTCTTATGTTTTGCATAAGAGATTTGCTTTAGATTTTTCTTGTTATGCCAAGATGGCTTTGTTAAAAGGGTTGAAAATTGTTGACATTCTTTTCAAATGAACTTTAAATATTTCTCTTGCTTGTGTTTTATGTGCTAGAGCTGAAGAGACTCATACTAACCTATTTTTTGAATGCGAACTTTCCTTTTTGATTATTTCTGATTTGATTCATGGATTACAATACTTCATTCTTAGGCCTACTATTCTTCAAGTTTTAAACTTGATTGCCGATTTGAATTTGGCAAAGGATGCAAAGAATATACTATTTCTTACTTCTAGTTTCACATTACATTTCTTATAGAGAGAAAGAAATATTAGAAAATTTGAATATAATTTTAAAAGTGTTGTAAGTGTTGCTAGGCATATTAAGCATGCTCATTTTGCTAAAATCTCCTTATGGAAATCTTATCATGAGATTAAACATCTTATTCTTTGAGCTTCATGTTCAAGTGTTTTTTTGGGTTGACATTGGTTATTTGACGGTGTCTTTTTCTTTTTTTTTTTTTGAGGTCTTTCTTAGAAGACTTGTGACAGCTTTCTTATTACTTTTTAAATCATCTTTTTAATACAAAAAATTATTATACTAAAAAATTACTTTAAAAGTAATTAAAAACTATCTCAAACTAAACTTAAAATTTGATTAAATAAATTGACAGTTAAGACAACTTTTAGTTGTAGTCTGTATTAGAAATTTGACTTGTAATGACCTTCAAAAATTGATCCCTCACTATTAAGGTTAGTATATATGTGATATAAATTTGACTCATGTGAGATTTTAATTTAATGGGATTGTTGGCTTTATCCCAGCCCTATTAATTGGGTTGGGATAAGGCAACTTGTTAATTGAAGTATTTAAACGAAACCTAAAGTAGTTCTTCTACGTCGTCTATAGTAAACGATGAATCATTGGATCATAGTCGGACATACATGATAGTTCCCAATAAAAGAGTGACGACGAACCCCATAATTAGGGATGACTGGATGCTAAAGAAGAAAGATGCATTCTTTCGTTAAAACCACATTGTTCACATTCAACAAATTAGAAAAAAAAGTCAAAAGTCAAAAATACTTACGACCTGCAGCGCCTGCGCAATCCGGCACTACGGCTCCATATTGTGGTTGCCTGGTGCCGCCTTGCCGGATGTCGACGTGAAGCCTTTAGATTCAGGAATCCGGAATACACTACTTCGCTCGGTGACTCGACGCTCTGCTTCCTCAGTTTGTCGTGCTCCGTGCGTGGAGGCAAGAGCAGAGCGTGGGAATCAGAAGAGCCTCATGAATAAAGCAAATAACTAATAGAAATTATTTTTTTAGAAATTAATACACTTAATTAAGCATTAATTAAATTTGCAGTGGGGGGCGTGCCCCCAGGCCCCCATACTATTGCATATGCCCCTGTTTATTATCTTATATTGACAAATATTTAGTCATTATATTATTTAAAACTAGTGTTAAATATTATTAATACATTACTAGAAAATTTGTCCAATTAAACACGAACCTTTTGATGCAAATATTTGAATTAAAGGAATGAACTTCCGGATCATTTTAACTTCATTTTAAAGAAATTAATAGTTGAAATTTTCATCTCTATCAGGTGGGTTCTCAAATGTGATTATAATTATGGGGATCGTAATCATGCGATAGTGGTCGGAAGATTATAGTCGGGTGATAGTTATTTGAGGACTGCGGTTCAGTAATGTTGTTATAGTATCGTAGACAGTGATCTGATGATGTTTGTTGGACAGCAGCGGTTCTACAATAATGATCAGATGTATTAACTATAATATATATTTATATGCTGTCAAAACATATTATAATGGAGGATAATTATTCAACCAAATAGGTTACTGTTATACTTGATTATTGGGTAGGTGACCCGATTAGCTAATCACACTTAAAATTCAGTCAAAATGATTATTGGTTTTTGATAAAATCAAATAATTTTAGAAAGACCTCACGAAAATCTTATTTCTAATTTCTTATTTTTAAAAATTGGGTAAATCACAACCATTCATTCAATAAGTTGACCTTTTAGGAGTTCAATTTAGATTAACATAACAAATTTAGAATAAAAAAAATTATTGCATCTGCATTTCTTATATCTAAAATGTAAACCTATCTAATCACAATCTTCCCTACATAAAAATATCAATTTACCCAAACTCTTCATGCTCTTCCTCTGACCGGACGTAGAGGAACGTCAGATCGGAGGCCAAATCGCGCCAAAAAACGAGAAATACCGAGCAAATACAAAGCAATACCAAACAATAACGAGGATTACCATCACGTGAAGACCCAATACCGAATTATACCGAGCTATACCGATCAATACCGAGTAATACAAAAGTTGTACCGAGTTTTTCCTAGAAAAAACTTGGTACAACTCGGTATTGGTCTTCACAGAGCGGTATTCCTCGTTATTATCAAATAATACCTAGCAATACCGAGCAAATACCAATTTTTTTGGCGGAATTTTCCCTCCGACCGAACGTTCCTCTACGTCCTTACACCGGACCTAATAAAAGTTCCTTCGACATGGCATTACCTACCTAGTTCAGGCCCAACAAACATTCAATAAGCCCGGCCCGCACCAGTCCATTAGCTCCACATGTTCTTCGTTCAACGAAATACACGGTCCAGATTGTTCAGTAAATCTTGATATTCTACTGACAGTTAACCGAGCGGCAAACAAATAAATCCACAAGTTCATGCGCTTCATGTTTCCTTTGCTTCGTTTTATCGCTCTCCTAATCGGAGATGGCGAGGTCGAGCCCTGCTTCTTACGCGCTTCCGTTCTCTGCATCTTCCTCCTTTACGTCCCATGGCAGTTCTCATAAGGGAATCTTTACGGTGAAATGGATTCGTCGATCGGATCTCCGCTTACCAATATCGCCCAAATATACTGATTCCCCTTTTTCTCTAGTCTCTTCTTATGGTTACAGCTGCGTTTGCTCCGTGAAGAACCCTGCTGTGAATCCTGTCAGTGGAAGGAAGCCCTCGGATGGAATTTTGAAGTTTCCGTCCTCCTCAGAATGCGATGTTAGCAGTAGGTAAAGGAATATCTGCGTCCTTCTATATCACTCATATGTGATATTTTTCTGTTCAAATTGGTAAAATGTTGCTAACTATTATAATTTAGATGATTTTGTGTGGTGTATTGTTTTGTAGATGGCATTTTTATCTTAGGGCTCATCTGGTTACTTGAAATTATAGACCATGTATTGAAAACATTGAATTTGATTGGACGCAATTAGAAATTAATATAGCAGTTAGTTTGAATTCATTGTGTGACAAACAGAAGAATAAGAGATCAAAAGTGATGCATATAGTAAACTTGGTCATGCTCTGTTCACATTATGAACTGAAGGAATTCTCATTTGTTTCTATCATAAGAAGAGAGAGAGAGAAATGGTCACTTCCACAGCATTTTCGAAAGGAATTCAATGTCTTTTATCTCTATAAAATAGGTTGGGTTCTACTCCTCATTGAAAATTGTAATTTGAATTAGCTAATTGTAGAAAGACAGGTAATCCTGTTCACTTGCTTCCATTGGATGGCTGTGGATTACACATTCACCTACCTTTCATGTTACATCTCACTAACTAGGCCTCGAGGATTTCAATAGTAACCTTACAAGATGAGATTGTGCGATAAATTAAAAGTTAATTCGTTCGAGTAAACAGCTGAGAGAGAGAGAGAGGATAAATGGTCACTTCCACGGCATTTACGAAGGCAATTCAATGTTTTTTATCTCTATAAAATATGTTGGGTATATATATATATATATATAAGTAATTATGTCTCGAAATAGGAGATTTTTAAGTATGAAGAGAAATTTTTCACCTAATTTATATAAACTTCTACCTATCACCCTCTAGCTAACTCCTATAAATTTTTTACCTGTCATATTCCTCCCAACATCAACATTATAATATCTAACAACATGTACCTAACATATTTAAGCTTGTTACTTATGACCTATTAACACTATAGAAGGAGATTATTGCCTGTTGTTGATGTATCACATAACAAGAAGCAACAAAGAGGGATAGGGAAGAAGGAAAAAGAGAACAGAGGAGTATCATTTGAGAAAGAAAAGAAGTTTATTGAGTGCTTGCAAGGGGAGTTCTTTAGCTTTTTGAACATGGAAAAAGTGTTACTTTTTTATTATAGCAAGAAAAAAAAGCTCTTGATTATCCAACAACAGCAACAAACCTTTATCCCACTAAGTGGGGTTGGCTACATGAATCCTTTTTCTCCATTGTTTCATATTAAGAGTCAAATAATTTTCATTTAACCTACTGTAATAGAGAGGTGAAGGGAGTAACTATAGAATCATTCATTTTTTCTTCTTCACATCTAACCCTTATTTTCATAGCATATAGCTATATTTTTTTCTCACCTAGATAAATCAGTATCTTTGTCCATATATCAAACATTGTATGAAGTGTAATATTTTATATATTATATTATTATTGTTGAAGTTTATTTGATTATTCAATCTTTTTGCGGCCATAGATGTAGGCTTTGCTTAAACTGAACCATATAAATTTTGGTATTCTTTTTGTTGGTGCTTGATCTCTTTTGAAGTTACTTGGTAGTTGACTCTTGGTTTGAGGCAATCTCTTTGCTAAGTTATTATAGCCATTATCAGAATGCATAGAAGCAGGGAGAAATATCACTATATTAGGAAATTATATGAGGTGAATCACAACACTTGTCGCTGTAGTTTTTTTTTTTTTTTTACTTGTTGCTATAGTTCAATCATAAAAAGGTAATCAAAAGATCAGAAACATGTTATCAATAGGGTCATTATTGTAGTTATGTTTTAAGAAAATATCTAGAAAAAAAATATGAAGTATGAACTCATATATCTTATCTTAATGTTCACTTTTGGTGCTTCCTATGAATATTACTTTTGGATTTCTCTCCAGATTGCATTTGGCTGTGAAGTGTGGATGTCTGTATTTTCATTAGAATTAATTATCTTGAAAGTATCGTTTGAAAGGGAGCACAACTCTAAGCTAAGAAGGTCCATTAAGGTGTGATGAAATCCATAATGTGGCCTTTATCATTAGCTTGACATAAAATAATTGTTGAGAAAATGATCAAAATGGTCCCTTGATTCCATTATAAGATGCCAAAATAGTCTCTAACTATATTAAATAATAATTTTGGTCACTCAAATTTTTAAAGAGGAACCAAAATACTCCCACCATGGGCATTCCTTTTTAAGACTTGGGCGACCAAAATGATCCTTTAAGATAGTTGAAGTTCATTTTGATCATTTTCGCAATAATTGTTGGAGGATTAGCAAATACCAAGAAAATGCTAAATGCATGTTTATTTTTCTTCAGCGGCTAGTTCTAGTATGATTCTTCCATCTTTTATAGATTTTTTTTCCTAACATATGATCTTACTATTAAAGATTTGAAATTATTGTAGTTATTCCATCGGTGTAGAAATTTTCAAACCATACATCTAACTTAACCCAACTTATTCAAATTGCAGTTGTTTTGTCCATTAAAAAAAGTATGTTTGGCTTGAAGCAATGACTTTTCAGTACTGAAAAGTTAATTTTGCATGTCTATTTTCAGCATATGGAATTGGCGAGGCTATCGTATACGTTATCAGTCTTCCGGAAAAAATGGCCCTGCACTGATTTTAATTCATGGTTTTGGAGCGAACAGGTGTATTTCCTTACCACTTTTTTCCTTGTGATTTTCAGATAATTAAGTTGGACTGGCAGTTACATCTGTGCGTTTCTATTTTGTTTGATCTTAAACCTTTCCTGTGTATCTAAGATTTTTTTTTCCTGTGTATCTAAGATGATTTGCAACTTATGTAACTTAAGGCTATTGCCTTCTTTTGGTCGTTTTTGTTTCAAAAAAGTCATGCTCATCATGCAATTCATTGACAAAGGTGTACATTATAAAAATGTTATTTTTTGCTCACTTCTTATGATCCTGTTAGTTGGTTTTTAACAATGTAGAATGTCATGGCTATTGTAGATTGTGTTAAGTCATTGTGCATAGTATTTGATGAGGACATCGTCAGCATTTTCGACACGTGTACCATCAGGAGACGCCGGAGATCGACGGCCACGATCATGAGTTTATTTTGAGTCATTTTATGTAGTAGTTTATTTGATTTTTATGTTTTTCCATTTTCGCCCTTATGGGTGGTTAGTTGCTATTGTAGCCCAAGGGGCATTTTAGTCCTTCGCTTTTCTTCGCATTAATTCTATAACTAGCAAAGCTTTAACAGCCTTATATTAAAATATCCCAAACAGTTCTTGTTTCCATGCATTATGTTTCACATCAGTATTTCTGATAATCAAAGTTTCTTACCGCTTGAAGGAGCCATTATCTTCAGATTTGGTTCTCCCATCAAGGCAGTCTTTAGATATAATGCTTGTCCAAATAAGTATTTAACTCACAACCCTGGTAATACAAGTTCCAGTTTAAGGCTTTAAGCTGCTGATCTTGCTATCAAATTAAACTCTGAAGCGATGCATTACGATTGCCTCTTATAACCTAGGTGGAGAAATCAGACTTTCACGTGGCTTGGGCAGTTGTACTACCGGGCCATACATTTCTTAGATGCATCATTGAGATTCTCCCATAAAGTTCCAATTCATTCCAGCTCTATATATCGCTAGCTAGGCATTTCCCAATAGGAGTCTGACTTTCTTATATTTGCTGTCAGTTAGTGAAATTATGAACCACTTTTCAAGTTGATTGCCTTGCTAATCTTCTCTGGGTTTTCTTTTACTTGCTTCCTTATTAATGTGGAGGACCTACACCAATTTCATGTGTTTCTTACTTTATAATGTTGATGGAAGCTTGGTTTCTCCTTTTATTGAACATTCCCGCTATGCTAGTTTAACTTCTTGTCTCTGCCTTCTGCTGATGCTCATGATATTTCCTATAGTCATTATTTTCTTGGCTTTTACTATTGACTGAATCACCTAAGCAATTTGATTGAAGCACTATCTTCCTTCTTGCTTTTACATTCTGTATATTTACAATAACTTTGTTCATCAATTTAGATATTTTGAACCTTCCAACATGCTTCAGATTTCACTCAGCCATGTCAACACATAATCTAGGAAGAGATGGGAGTACTTTGCCATTTCAACCTGATTAGGGCCTTGATTAGTCTTACTTTTAGTCAACCATCCGGTTTCCTCTCACATCAACCAATACTAGCTCTCAAGTTCCAAAGTGATTAATTTTCTGTTTGATTAAACATTAATATTCCTGATGTGTTTAAGCTTCTCGTTCACTCATTCATTAACTTTGTGCCTGATGCATATTCTTATCAATTTACATGATAATATTTTTTTATGGTTGTACAATAAAGAATTACAAGTCTCAGTTTCGGTGCTTGATATCTCCAATTTTTTTTGGCTAGATCTTGCCTGTGAGTTTATATATCCTCTTGACCATGTCCTGTATCTGTGTGTTCTACATATACTTTTAGCTCTCTCTTTCTCCCACCACCCCCCTCCTTTTCTTTACAAAAGCTCCATTAGGAATTTTTAGCATAAGAAGGAACATCTACAATACATTTAACTCAAATTCATAAAACAATTTAATAGAGTTTAAATACTCTTTTAGATGCTAATTTCTAAAGGACATGGTAATCATAATCTTCATCGTAATTTTTAACATAACATAAGAAGGAACATCTACAATAAATTTAGCACAAATTGATAAAACATTGTAATTAAATACCTCAAAATGTTTCATCCGTATTGATTAACAAATTAGAATTAGCATCTAGAAGAGTATTTCTTAAAGTAGAATTTTCCAATAATGCTAATCCTTTAATATGTCAATAAAATGATAATTCATTGAATGTGCACAAGTCGTAACAAATCTAAATTATAGCATGGTAGCAATTATAGGGAAGTATTAGAATAAAATTACAAATCCAACTTTGCATGCTACAAAAATTGACACATGTATAAGAGCATGCTAAAGAAGACGAAAAAATAAATTTAGGAGGAAATAAGAGATTTCTATCCTCCTACAATGGAGGAACATAAGGGGGTCACAAATTTAACATTTTTATTGCTTGGTATGCTATCACTTCTGTTGGCAGTCTACTTTTAATATGCCAGTTGTTTTCTCATATGGTTCTTCTTCTACAGTGACCATTGGAGGAAAAATATTTCTTTTCTTTCAAAGACAAATAGGGTGTACTCAATTGATCTTATTGGTTATGGTTATTCGGAAAAACCAAATCCTCGGGATTTTGAGGCAAACTCTTTCTACACCTTTGAAACATGGGCAGCTCAGCTAAATGACTTTTGTGCTGATGTGGTGAAAGAAGATGCATTCTTTATATGCAACTCTATTGGAGGCAAGCCTCGATTTTCTCTACAAGATTTCCTTTATTTTAGTTTTACTATGGCTATGATGCAAAATCAGTATCTACTGGGGCCAACCAATTATTTCTAAGAGTGTATTCTGCTATTTCACAGGGGTTGTTGGCCTTCAGGCAGCCATTATGGAGCCTCAAATTTGTAAAGGAATCCTCTTACTGAACATCTCTCTAAGGATGCTTCATATAAAGAAGCAGCCATGGTATGGAAGGCCATTCATCAAATCATTTCAGAGCTTGTTGCGGTACATTATAACTTGTCTAGTAATATGAAGTTCTCTGGTCTTGGTTTGATTGATTTGAGATGCTGCTTTTGATTATTTATAGAAACACGGAGCTTGGAAAAATTTTCTACAATGCAGTTGCCACAAAAGAATCCGTGAAGAGCATTTTGTTCCAGGTGTTGTTAAGTGAAACTGTGATACATTCTTCAACTTTTTGAAGAAACTCAGGAATGCATGTTCCTCATCTATTATGGTGCTTATTCCTCATTTATTATGATTTCGTTTGGGACGACTTTCTTCCTGCTTCTTAAAGCGGCTTTTTACTTAAAAAATTTTAATTTTTATACTAAAAAGCTGCTTTAAGAAGCAGGAAGAAAATAGTCCCAAACAAAGCCTATGTCTCAGTTATGCCTTTTTCTTTCTCTCATTCTCAGTTCTTATGAATATTTTGGGCATGCAATCTGTTATGACAGAATGAGGAAGGATTGCACAGTCCAGTTCTTTTTATATTCTCCTGTCTCCTCTTATTTCTACTGAGAAATACCACATTTACTTAGGATTTTCTCGTTTTACATCTGATTGTGGTTTTATTATTCGTAGTTACATCCTATGCTTGTAATGTTATTAGTTTGTTAGGATTGTCTGCTATAATGCACATATCTACTTATCCTTAAAATTTCCTGGGAATTCGCCAGTATTGCTTTATGGTTAAAAATACTAAATATTTGATTTATAAATCCATGCTGTATAAATTATATTTAAAAAAATCCATGCAGTATAAGTTATGAACTGTAAATATGGCCATGGACTATTTGTATAAGATCATTTTCAGCCTAACTTTCTAATCTAATTTGTTTAATTTAGTCTCGTAACTCCTCGAATATGGTTCCAAATAATTCCTCATTTAGATCAAATTTGTAAAGTCAATGGATTATTGTGAATCGGATTTAAAGAGTCAGAAGATAAAGGCTTTGTTTAAGATGACTTTGTTATTGCTTCTTAAAGCATCTTTTTAGTATAAATTTTTTAATTTTTGTACTATAAAGCTGCTTTAAGAAGCAGTAAGAAAGTCATCCCAAAGAAATCTAAATTAAACACATTTGATATGTTGGGACTAAAATGTCACCGCATAAATAATCTATAGATCATTTTGACCTTTTCTCTATACTAATTGATAAATAATCTATAGATCATTCTGTCGTTTTTTTCTCTTCTTTATCAATTTGAGCTATCATGATTCAGCTTTATTTCTCTCTGTGCCAGTGTTATCATGACAAGTCAGCCGTTACTGATGAACTAGTTCAGATCATCCTTCAGCCTGGCCTTGATCCAGGAGCAGCTAATGTATTTCTTGAGTTCATCTGCTACTCCGGCGGCCCTTTACCTGAAGATTTGCTTCCAAAAGTCAAGGTTTCTTTTCATTACCACCCAATCTTATATTTCCCTCAAATTTTCAGCATCTGGAAAGCGCTATTTAACTAAGGCTTAGTTTGAAACGGTTTTTTTACTGCTTCTTAAAGTGGCTTTTTGTGTAAAAAAATTAATTTTTGTACTAAAAAGTCGCTTTAAAAAGCAATAAAAAAACCGTCCCAAACGAAACCTAAAACTTCTAAATAGTTCAAAATCTTTCAGTGCCCCGTTTTGGTGGCTTGGGGAGATAAGGACCCTTGGGAGCCTATTGAACTTGGGAAAGCCTTTGCCAACTTTGAAGCAGTTGAGGATTTTGTTGTCCTACCTAATGTCGGCCATTGTCCTCAGGTTTGTCTAATGATATCATCCTTTTTTTATTTATAAAGCATTTTCTCAGGATATCTTGATAAATTTGTTTTAGAAATAATAAGAAAGCTTTTTCAAACAAAATCTAAATTTTAATAACGTTATCCTATCCATATATTTATTTTGCAAAGGCTCATCTTATGTTTTGCAGGATGAGGCACCAGATCTTGTGAATCCTCTGATACAATCATTTGTAAAACGACATTCTGAAGGATAGGTGAGAATTGCCTCAAAATGCAGGAAAAATTATTAGGTGTGGAGCATGCACCGTTTGCACAAGTACTGGGTACCGCTAGGTACCCAATGCTTGTTACGGATGGTTCTCCCCGTCCGCACTCCGCACCTAATAATCTCTCAAAATGTAGAGATATTATTCTGTGCAGCCTCCGAACGTGTTTAGAGGCAAATACGGATGCGCCACATCATTGGATACGCTAGATCCCAGTGACATGGCGCATACGGATTCGTCTCCAGACGCATTCGGACGTCGCATAGAATAATTTTCCCAAAATGCAGGGGTAAAATCGCTTTTATGTTACAACTTATCTCTTTTTACTGCTGATTCTTTTTTAGAAAGTCAAGTATTATTAAAAAAAAAAAAAGAAGAGGGAGATAATTTACATACACACCACACAATTTCTCTTTATGTTTATATATTTAACATTTAATATTTAATATTTATTTATATAATAATTTAGCATGTCAATTATATGAAAACATATTTATGGAAATGCATGTCATTTTAGAAAAATTAATGTTTATGATTTTTTTTAATAAAACATGCATGAAAGTATTATATTTTATTTTAGAAAAATTAATATTAGTATTTTTATGCAATTAAAAAATTGAGAGTTATGTAAATAAATATTAGAATTTATTTGTTAGATATTTAAATGTCTAAAAACCATATGATATGTATGTAAACCCCCTTTAAAAATTAGAATGAGATATATTTTTTCTAGATTAATGCCTTCCTATTCTTTAAATATAGGGTGTCAAAATAGCTTAACAACTTGGGTTCAG